CGCGAATCCCTCGGAAATCTTCCTCGATCTGCACGCGCGAGAACGGACTGCAATTTTCATAAAATACTTGGTGTACGTGGCGACTGGAAAAATTCCAGGAATCGGACTAGCTACAAAAATACTGAAAATTCAACGGCAGCGGCAACGGCACTGCGTTGAGTGTATAAAGCTACGGTAGAAACGACCGAAGGGAACTCCGAGTTACAGGCATTTGCATATTATCACCAATTCCGGTAGTCGAGCATCGTCAATCGTCGAAAATGGCAGTTCACCAGTACGAGAGAAAAATTGCAAGAAACGGGATACGGATAATTGAGTTCGATATCGATCTGACTAGAAATAATTGTAATGCTCGTGACAATACACGTACCTTTAAATTTTTTTTACAATAAAGCGAAATGATTTTTTTCTAAAAAGGGAAATTTGTCTGTAAAGATCTAACAAATAAATTTCATGGACACTTAAAAATTTTATCGTTGACTTCGAACACGAAATGAATCAGCCATTTACGAACTATAAATCGATGCGATCCTTCAGGCAAGACGCCGTCACGCTTCGCGAAACTTTTAAGACAGTTTCACGAAGCTTCAAGATGGTGCGGACGCGGTTGATAAGACGACCAATCCGGCGAAGGTGACGAAGGCGAGGTCTTCGATGTCAGAGGGTGAGTGCTTTGAATAGGAGGTTACCAATGGCATAACAACGTCCCGGGCTTATGTACCTCTCGTCCGATATATTATACATGTGTACGTGTATATGAATGCTGTATACACATGTATGCATGCATGTCGTCTCTTCCTTGTCGTTGCAGTTCGACATAACGACCCCAAGGAACGGAGTAACTGGCCTCGGCTTTATCTACAAGCTACGGTCGAGATTAACGAAACAAAGGCCAGCACTCGCGACGGAATGTGTTGTTTCTTGTCGAGAGATTGGTCCCAGAACGGTCGTATCAGGCTTTACATGCGCGCCCATCAGGATGCGGAAACTGTGCCGACAATGTTGCTCGCTAATCGCGTCACATCATTTAGGATCCTCGCCGTGGTTAAACGGTCGTGAGGCGTATATCCTGTCCTCGCGTTGTTTCCCACGTTCCTGAATTGAAAAAGAAACGTCGCCAGGGACTGCGACGTGGGACAGAAGTTGGAGGAAAACTACTTGGAGATTCTCGCAGAGTTGATAAAGATGTATTAGACTTCTGGAAGAAACAATTATAATTGTAATGAATTAAGCAGATTTAGCACAGTTAAAGAGAAATTTATTAGACTTGCGCATTAGTACAGATATTTGAAGCAAATTATATTTGTTAGCAAAGAAATATGTTAAAATCTACATGGACAGAACGATTTTGCTAAAGTATCTAAAAATTTAACAAAATAAAATCTAAAAATAACTTTATAACTTTATCAACGAAATAATTATGTATACTATTAAATTCATAATACCTCAAATTATACCCAATTTGAATTATTTTTTTTTATTCTATAAGTTGTCACTGCTTCTACTCAATACGTTGTTAATTTAATTAAAACAATACAGTTAAATAATTTAATACGAGAAAATGTATTGACTCAAATTTAATTTATTATTTACTAAATATATGCGTGTAGACGTTATTTACGTTGAAATTAATCATAGAAGTAGATTGATTTACATTTTTGACATACATGGAAGTTAAAAAAAAATAAAATATTTTAAACTAAGGAATTGAGTTACCCCATTGCTCTTCTGAATCTAACAGTGTAGGATGCTTAAGCTGATTGCTGTCAAAATTTTTGCAATATCATGCTTTGAGTTTCCTACATAATTATTTTAATGATTTAACAAAATTCAGACCTGAAATTTTTAGACCTGAATCTAACTAAATTTTTAGATATTTCAGTAAAATCGTTCTTTCCATGTAGTATAAAAAAAAGTTATAAAAAGCCGCTTTGCAGTATGCGTGACATGATCGGATTAAAAGCCGGTTCAATCGGATATAAATCTGAGATCCTCAGTCGCTATCATATTTCTCGGCAAACTTGCTACCGAATCTGATTTCACCGGTGACGATTTATAGCCAATGGCATTAGCCAGCGAATCGTCGAGCGGTTTCTCGCTCCGTAAAATGAAACTCTTAACCGGACACTGTGGGCGGTTTGGAAAGGTGGTTCACAGTTGCATCCGATTGCATCGTAGTCCTTGCAGATACAGACTTGTAATTTTCGAACAGATGCACACTATTATAACCGGTCTACCGACTTGCGACGCGAGGTAGAATATACATACATACACAGTAAGCGCGAAGTGCACGGATGGCGAGAAGTAGATACCGTCCTATCCTCTCGTCCACCTTCGTCGTCCTTGTCCATTGTCCTTCCTTTGACGTCGAAGACGATGCTGGGAACTTCATTAAGGGTACTTTGTAGATTTTCAAACGATTTAAAGTACCGGCTCTGACGAATCGTGCTGAGCGTCTCACGGAACTGCGTACTAATTACGAACGCTTCGGACAGAGTAATCATTTTTCAAAGAGGAAGCTCTCGAGAGAAGTTCCTCTCGCCGAGAAATCGTGATACACTTTTACGCGCGTGCTTAATTGAACGCGTTATATCCCGCTGGGAGTCGCTTCGCCCTTAAAAACGGGAAGAATAAGCACTCTTGACGTAATAGCAAGAAAAAAAAGCAACCATGAAATTTACTCTGTAAAGAAAATTTTGCAAAGAATGCATATTGGCGCGATATTGAAACCGCTTCTGTATTATATAGAATAATTCAAAAAGAAGTCGAGATAAAAGGATTAGTAGTATTTTATACCATTATAAATCTCTCAACCTTTTTTTGGGACCATGTATATATATCACAACTAACAAATTGATTAAAATTATATTATTTTTCTAATTAAAACCAATAGTTATTTCTGATTAATTTTTTTTCTTTTCTCACATTTCTTGAAATTATGATACGCAAGAAAGTTCAAAAATATAGGGATAAGATCATCGCTCTTACTTACTATATATATGCATTTATATTTATTATTAAATTCCTCGATTCTCTTTTAAATTGGTGTAGGGTAGAGCGGGGCTATTTTGTCCATTTTTCGCGATATTATTTATGTTTCTGAGCAACGTAGGTATACTGAACATTTAAAAGTCATACTTGTACTCTTAAGAAACAAACGTGATTGTATAAGATAGTTATAAGCACGTTACTGCAAAAAAGTTGCAACATTACTTGTTGTCGTAAATTTTATATTACTTTAAGATAGAAAATGACGGAATAGCCTCGTTCTATTCTATAAGTAAATTAAGCGACATTGATATTTTTATGTATTGCTTTTTTCATTATAAGAAAATTTTAAGAAAAAATCTATACTGATTTTATATAATACGTGTTTGAAATAATTTTGTCAAAAATTAATTTTGCTTTTTGCTTTCATCATAATTATTACAATTTAATTATTAAGTTATATTTTGAAAACTATAGTCTGAAAGCTATTGTACTGCAAAGATGATATCAACTATAATCATATACAAATATTCAATTAGCAACCAGCTAAGGTTTTTTCTTTAAATTATCTAGTAAATAAATAATTCAAGGCTTTTTAAAAATGTCATTTTATTATCTACACTGTTTCCAGTTATTATTTTTTTAATCGCTTAACACGAGTTAAGTGAAACGACTTTCAAATAAATGCAAAAATTATATTTAAACAATACTTTTATCAAGTTGTTTAATTACAGTTGTAAATATATTTAACCCTCAATTACATGTCTCGTTTTAGAGTCTTAATTTACATGTCTGGGTCCAAGTCACCTACAACATTACGTTGGAATACACAATATTAAACGAAAATAACATTAAATATTGTGTGTTCCAAAATTACATTAAATTACATTGAACATTTCAAAATTTGTTCAGAATTTTGTACATTCTATGCACTCAGCTGCCACGGAATTTGAAGTGATCTATAGAATTAAATGGATTTTTAAGAGCAATTTAAGTGGGATTATAGTTTATAAAATTGTTTTGTTATTTAATAATTAATTTTTAATTAAAAACAATGAAGATTTTCGATCGGCATTAGGCCTTTAATTCATATTATTAGTAAAATTGTCAACTATTATCGAAAATTATTATCGAATAATTTTTCTTCTTTTCTCGTATTTTTTAATAAAATTATGAAGCAAAAAAAATTTTTAAATGGATTACTGTACTTATTTATTATTTTTGCGACTTGCATGCAACCAATTTTGCAAAATCGCCATTATACGTTCATGGATCTATATCTTGATCGATTTTCCATGTTTACAGAGCGTATCTCGGTTTTTGTAGTTGAATTTTAGTCTAATCAATGTCGTGTATCGAAGACAAAGACAGACCACTGAGCAACGAGCTCATACAAAGCTTTCCGCTAGTACAACAGTGTAAAAATCCTCAATTTCACGGTTCACTGCCAAGAGCCGGTAAGAGTTTTCCTATCCGTGCATTTTGCGGTAAGCTCTAAAAAGAAGTAGCTTTTTCTCTTGTTTATCTTCGAGAGCGTACGTCTACATGAGTTTGCCGCGTCATTCTCGTCAAGATGAACCGCGTAGTCAAATTCAAGAACGTGCGCAGCGTCGCTATGCCTTTCATGAGCCAATTTGCGCAGCTGCAATTTGAGACACAAGTAGAACTGAGGAAAATGAGGAGGTGGTGCAACTGCAGACGTCTCGCATCCACAATCTGAGCGAATTATAGAAACGTCTCGATTATCTCAACCGTGCGACGGATAATTGAGAAATCTCACAATAGCGGTACCAAGATTCAATGAAATGAACTTCAGGTTGAAAAAAAATCTGCAAAAATAGAATCCATCAGCGCAATTACTTATTGTTAGTGTAATTATTAGTGGAAATAAATTTAAGCAATTCCGATTACCTTCCAGACAGCACACGACATTAATAGAATATATAAACGTTCTAAGAATGTCTTGTATATTCTTAAAATGTTCTATGAACGTCTTTTGAGATTTGGTGCTGTATAGACTGTTACATACATATATTTTATACAATTGCGCGTTAATAGAAAGGATCTGGAAAAGGAAAGATCAGGATCCTTGCAATTTTCTCTTACACTTTCATAATCGCTTCATCATTGTTGAAATGTTCTCTTTAAATTTTAAATAAAATATACATCTCGGTCGTGCAGTCGCGCGGCTGTTTCCACTGCGAAGTTATTAACTTTCCGAACTGTGTTGCCGCGTTTAAAGCTTTCTTTCGCCGAGCAAACGAGCCCTCACTCCACATAAATAATCGAGCCGCTGCCACCGTGGCTGCTACGGGAGCCACGTAGTTACGAAGTTTACAACTACCGACGCCGTTTGGTACCTCGCGTACGCTTTTATATCGCGTCGGATAAACAAGCTCGACGTTTTCGCTCGCAGGCTCATTCGAGTTCATGAATGTGCTTTCAGGTACCAAGTCGCGCGCATGTATACATATCCCCAGAATATATTGTACATATATGCGGCACACCATCGCGTGTGTAATACTCGACGCGTTTTCTTACCATCGAGTAGACGTCTTGGGGAAACGAGAAATTGGTCGGCAACGACGCGAAATTCTGCACACCGAGAGAAGCAAGACGAAAAAACTTGGGTCCTCTCCCTCAAACCGACAATGACAATTCGCCAAGCTAACGAAGCGAGCACTGGATTAAAGCACTGGTTAATTAAACGTTCCTCCAACGTTGCATTCAATCTCTAACGATCTCAGGAAACAAGACATGAGCTCTCTGAGTTTCTTTCAAAAAGTCGCAATCGTATCTCCTCAATTCTCAGAGCTGCCAACTTTCGAATGCTGAATCTAAATTTTTTTTAATTTTTAAATGAGTTCCTTCTCCTATTTTAAACGATACATCGTATATGTATCTCTAATAAACTAAATAATTCTGAACAGAATTTACTTGATAGATGAAACTCGAGTTTCGTAAGTTCCACATAGATCCGTTTCTGTCCCGTATTTTCATCGCTCATGTTCTTCACGGTCCTTGCGGAGGACCATTGTACGAAAGCAGACCCTCTCGGAATAACGCTAATAACGCAAAACGGAGACTGCCACGTCATGATGTAGCTTTTTTGTGAATGGAAAGGGTACGCCATTGTTCGACAAGTGGAGGACATATTCTATCTACGACTCCTTGTTCGTTTCTTGATGTCGATCGCGGTCTACTCTCTCTTCTCGACAATCCGATCGTTTCCTGAAAATAGAGGTAGTTTTATTTCTCAACGTCATCCTTTTATGATGTATTAATATGTATAAATATTCCATACATCTTAATTTATTATGCGCTTTTTTTTACCCTACAACTTCCTTTTCTTTGTGCAAGTTTCATAATTCTAAAGGCATCATTTATCACTGAGCTACGATCAAACAAAATTACGCGAGACGGTAAAGAAATAGCTTTGGCAAGTGTCGTCTCGTTAACGGGTCGCAACGAGCGTAAAGACGCGGACGCCGTCACTCACAAGAGTGCACAGGAAATCAGTGTCCGGCCGCAATTAATGTCTTAATTGCCATCGAGAAGATCAAAGGAGTAATTAACGCGACACGTGCAACCCTAACGAGAGTACAAATACGTACTGCGAGTAAGTTTTATCTAGAAGTAACTCAACGCACACAGTTTTTCAATTCTGACTCCTCTCTCGTGAATTTGAGTGTTAAATTATGCAATCGACCTTGTTACGTTTGCAATATCTAAAGTTATTTTAACATGCGTTTCTCTTATCATCGGTATTTCTACGAAATTAATTTCGTTAACTTTTCCAGCTATCATTATTTGTCTTCGTACGTATTTTGCACGTTATTACAATCACAGAGGATTTCAAGAAAGTTTGCTTTTCGTGAATATTTACGTTCGCATCGTTATAGAAATTTATAAACTCGTCTGGTTGTCTCAATACGCAAACGTCGTTGAAATAAGTATAATTTCGCAACAGATAGGAATTCAATTTTACTCACTCATCGGGAATGAGCGCGACTCGTAAATTCGTTGGTATCTAACGTGAAATGAAAGGAGAATATTAAAAAAGTCCTATTTTTGGGCTCCCTGTGGAATTTTAGTTAACAACAAAAAATTGTTGTTTGAGACCTACATGAAACAGTAAAAATAGTTTTACATCCCAGAAATGCGGGGAAAGTAGATTTTTTTTATTATATGTTATATCTCCTTTTGTAAATTGAATTTTCATATACCAGAATTTTCATATACGAAAATTTGACTTACAAAAAGAGATATGTAACATAAAAAAAATCTATTTTCTCCGCATTTCTAGGATGTAAAATTATTTTTATTATTTCACGTAGACCCCAAGTAACAACTTTTTGTGGTTAAGATTTCGCAGGGGGCTTAAAAATCGGACTTTTTTAACATCCTCTTTTATAATACATTCGTGTTACGACATACTGCACAATACATGTTGATTTCTCAGAGCTCGGAGATGAGGTCTTGGAAAAGACTGCATTGCTCTGACTATAAAACGAAATAAAATTTTATAGCTCATAGTCCATAGATACTGAATGTGTATCGAGAATACAGTTACCGGAACTAACACCTTCCAAACCGAATATCACATCTCGCGATCGCTCCAAAATATCAAGTGTAAAAACAATGCGTTGCTTGAATTATTCGAACGGCGTTCCGATACCTGACTCAAAATATCTCCGGTCTAAAAATATATTTCTCGTTACTTCTCGTATCTTGTACGTTTCTCTATGTTTCGCGCACGCATCAATTTCCAAATATTTTAAATTTAAGAGATTTAAGAGAATTTTTTAAAAATCATCTCCCGTATATATAACGAAATATAAAAATCCATTCGCTTTAGTTTTCGAAACTCACTCGTTTGTTTATCATGCGCGATGTCGATACGATCGAAAAATTCCCGTATAATATGGAGAAATTTTGCTTTTCTACAGCGCGGCACGACGTGCGGAACATGATGAATTAACGTGCGCTGTATTATTCCATAGTTGGGACTCGTTACCGGAGCGAGAACAGTGAGGCTTGTTATTTTACGCAAACGGCGGCACGGTGGCTTAACAATAGCGAGAACGTTACGCCATCCGCAAACAAACTACTCCGTGCAAGCGGCGTGCAGTGCTGTAGCTGGCATCGTAGTATAGAGACGTAATCTTGAGATCCCATATGGTCTCATGTTGAGGATGTAATTGCCGCTCTGGGGGCAATCACGAGATTATCACGACAACCCGTGTCCGTGGGCTCTCAGAGTCGCTCTAGCGCTCCATTGCTTTGCGGTAGAAACAAAGGTATCAAGTAACATAGGCTTTATTAAGCCTGGCCGGGATCCGCCGACAAAGCGCTGATAGTTTCGGCTAAATGAAATACGGGTCGGCTATAAATAGCAACCTATCGATAGATAGGGCTCTGACATCGCCCGTGGCGTTACGACTTCGAACAAAGGATAACTGTATTCGCTTTAGTTGACTCGGGAAGCAATCAAAGCTGCATCGCGTTGCCATGCCGCGGTTTATTCGTGTAGCAGGACTTACGAATGAAACTGGATAATTTGAGTATCTCTCACAATTAGTGAACTTCATTAGTGTTGTTCGCTCCAGACGCTTCTATTGTGGCTATGAGTTGTGACTATGCGATAATATTTTGAATAACAAACTTTTAAGAGCGACTATTTAACCTTCAATTACAGATATGACTTTTTTTGGACCTAGAGATTAATAATGTAATTTCATTAAAACTTTTTTAGCGATTATGTATTACAACTTGGATATGCTAACTTCTAAGCCACTTATACATACATAGTCCGTTCTTATTTCTCTCAATATAATAATCTTCCTCGCGAAACAATAATTTATTAGAGAACAACACGGACAGCTACACATATGTCCGTTTTTGCCATTGCAATTTAATCTTGGTTTTTGCAATTTAACCCGCTATTGTTAACTTTGACTAACTCTTCATCTTTTTTTAGAATTAAAGAAGAATATAGAACAAATTGAACCGAAATTAAAATTAATCTATATTGATAAAAACGGGCATTATTCTAATTTCGAAGTTTATTTATTAACTCCTTAGATTTCCATCTTTCCGTCACTACGGTTCATAGAGAAAAAATTTACGTGAATAATTTCACATTTTTACGGTTGGGAGAATTACATGATCCCGCAAAATCGTAAATGGTCGTAAAATTTCTTACTTTTCATGTTTCTGCTATAGAGGAAAAGTTACATGTGATCAATCTCCAGAAAATTTTAAACAATTGGTACATCTGTACGATTAGTAACTATGAAGTTGTAAATTGTATAGATAAAAAAGACTCCCCCTATCAATCTTATTAACATCCATTTTATTTATTAATATCATTTATAAACGTATTATCAAATCGTTTAAATAAATTTCTTCCAAGCGAAACAAAACGGACGAAATTGAGAGCAAGAATCATTCTTGAATCCGATGTAATACTGAACAAAGTTAAACGACTTGATACAGTCTCCTTATTCGCAAATGCGATTTGTCGTTCCTTATAATAAAGCGGCATCGACAGAGAGATGACAAAAGTGACTGGCGCTACTGAAGAGTGTTCACAACGGTTTCAAAGGACCTCAGCGTTTCTTCCATTACAGAGCATATCTTTGGACATGGTCGTGAAATAACGGCCGCGCAATTTCGCTTTGATATAATTTCAAAGTGCATTACGCTTTTAAGGTTTAAAGAAGCGACACAGTATGCAGTTATTTATTGTCCAGTACATCGGCACAAGTGAATAAGAGACGCTTTTCGCAAATCTAAGTTAGTTCTATATCCACTTTAAGTTTTCATCCCGTGTGATGTGAAACTATTTCGGATGTAAAATTATCTCGGTTAAAATACGAATAGACACCTCAGACGAATTATTTATATCATCTGTTTTTAATTCGATTTTACAATCTGCATGTTTGCAGAAACTTTAATGTATAATTTATAATCGCAATTTAATTTTTAATCTAGTTCTCTACTATTTGCATTGTTACTACATTTAGTTCACGTTAAGTTGAAATTTGATATTTATTGTATTCGACGTATCAGACTTTCGATCAAACTATAAATAACCAAGGTTCAGTGGTCCTGAAGCTATGAAGATCCTAATAACGCGGTTGTTAGAATGACTGTATTGCATTGTGTCCTTATTTGGAAAATAAACGTTTGTATTTCAATTGGACAACAGACATCTCGAACGATTACAGAGAGCAAGGCAAAGAAAATAATGAAAATATTGCAAAATGTACACAATACATACACAAATTATTCTCCCAAACGTTGCCGATTTCACGCATACGCGACGTTAGTCAAAGTGAATTTTTGATGTGTCGGACTCTCGCGATTCACTTTGCCAATACTCGTCTCAGTCGCTAGCCATGTCGACAGTCGGCAAACTACTAACGCTTTCTCGCTGAAAGCCCCGAGAGCAAACGCGTTAGAAAGCTGTCCGGTGTAGTCGCCTGCCACCTCTTAATAGCGTTCTCGTGATAATCGTCATAAAGCGCAGAGAGGCGACGACAAGTGTGCTTCCGGACTCGAAATTCCCTGGACAAGAATCCACGCGCGACTGTCGCTTCCTTAAAGCGGCTCGCGTATAAGTCTGCTCTTGTAATACATGAATGAACGAGGGAACGTTGTTCGGGAGAGCTTCCTTTTCTCGGCATCCAGGTCGACGGCTTTCGAAACGCGAAAGTCAAACAGCGATAGTCGTCTTCGGTTCTGAGAAAAGCTCGTGGCTTTCGATCGACGTGACTCCCAAAGCATCGAGTTTCTCGCTCGAATGGGAAAAAAAGAAAGAAAAGAACGGTCGTCTCTACCGTCGTCTCCTCGGCGACGAATAGCTCGGGATCCATTTAACTTGAATAGCGTTCGTCGACTCCCGCTCGCAGTTTGCAAAAGTCGCAGAAGCAGTCGAATAAGAAGAAATATTATATATATCGCGTTTCATCTACTATGATCGCGTTCTCCGTTTATTCCTATTGTAGGTGATGCCGATACTTCTTTCGTAATATGACAACGCGCATTGCATTATCAGAGTTTGCGTGTATTAGCACGTAAACGCAAATATTTCTATCATATTCCTATCTTTTTTTCTTCGACGTGCGTTAGAATGTAAATGTTTATGTGGTTGAGCCCATGGTACACACAAAAAGGCAGTAAGGCAGTAAGACGTAAGCAGTAAGCGAATTAGCCATCATAGTAGACTGTAAGGTCAATAACGAATCCAATGTTAACGATTTCCTTACTGCTTACGTTTTACTGCATTACGTTTTTGTACGTGCAATAGCTTTTTTAATTCACATCGGTCTTGAGCTCGATCCGATTCACGCTCTTGGAATCATTTTATCATGTCATTTAAAATTGAACAACACCATTAAATTCATAATGTCAAATTATATCCAGTTTGAGTTATTCTTAATCATTTCTATATGTCGCCATTCCTATCCAATATAGGGTGGAATGAAGTATTATGAGGACCTTAAAGAATTAAATTTAATTCGCGAAATTACTACAGTGGTTTAATTGCGTTTAGTCCGGAAATATTTCGGTACACAGTTCGTTAGATTACAATTATGGTATGTATGTCAAGTACATATTTAGTGATTCAAGATTGAATTATTTAAGCATTTTAAGGTCTAGCTTTAACCGATATAGGGCTCTAATTTATCGATTGTGAGAAATATATTTTTGGCAAAGGTTCTATGTATACATACATACGATGCAATGTATGTAAATATACACTGGCTGTGTTCTAAAATTCACTACCACTATTAAAAATCTATAGTACACATAACGTGAACTATAAGGCTTTTTATTTTTAATTGAACTTCTCGCATTTCTTGTATGTATCTCGGTTCATCTTCTCTCTTTTTCTTTTCGCATTGTATGAAAAAGGTAGAAAGTTGAACCGTCATTATTATTTTTTTTTACTTAAAAAGAGATTAGGAAACTTTCAGAACGTTGCAAATAATTATAGATAGACACATCGAAAATATTACTTATTTAATTTTTATATTGATTTAGGGATATTGGTATTACTTATCACAAATTGATGTGTATTAATAAAAAAACCATGTTACATAACGCAGCAGCCAACCAAAACACACACACATATTATAGCTGCGGTCGCTTTGTCGCTTGCAGCGCTGTGAGCATCAATTATCCTTGTTTAATATTTAATAAACAACAAAGATGAAACAACGCTTAAAGCGTTGTGATCGCCAAAGCAAACACAGCCTAGAGTACACACACATATTCGTCGTCATTTTGAGAGCACTTCCGCTGAATGTCCAGACTCTCTACTTCTAGGGACTTTAGTTGTACTTGCGTGTGGCTTGTGGTGCGAGCCGTCTGCTCGACCGCCATAGCATCCATGCAAGAGCCATACTAGCTTCTTATCTAAATTTCTACCAGGGCTGTATTTAGCTAAATCTTTAAAAGCTTCAGTAAAACCATTCTTTTCGTGGTAATTAAAGAAATAATTAAAAAGATGAAATAAAAATGTAAGGTAACTACGAGGGTCGTTTGAAAAGTCCGTGCAAAGTCAGAGAAATGGCACTACTGGCGCGTATCAAGGTTAGATTTAGTTAGTAGCATCTCTTGTAAGAACACACACCACGTTTTAGCCAGATCGGTCTATTTGTTTGTGTTTGGCATTCATTTGAATCGAGGAAGTCGAGTGATTTTCAAAAACGCACCAGCTCACACCTCAGCAGTTGTGAGCGCAAAATTAATGGAATTAGGGTTCCAACTCGTTTCACATCCCCCCTATTCTCCAGACTTGGCTCCCTCGGACTACTATTTGTTCCCCAATATGAAGAAATGGCTGGCGGGAAAAAGATTTTATGCAAACGAGGAGGTGATTGCAGAAACAAATGGCTATTTTCAGACTTGGACAAATCCTATTATTCGGAAGGGATCAACAAATTAGAGCAGCGTTGGACGAAGTGTATAAGCCTAAAAGGTGACTATGTTGAAAAATAAAAAAATTTACCCCAAAAAATTAAGTAGTTTTTATTTTTGCACGGACTTTTCAAACGACCCTCGTACATACCCAATATGAACGTGAACTCAAAACGCCCTATTCGTTTTTTGTAGATAATATTATACTGTGAATTCAACAGATAGTACTAATAAGTCGTAGGCTGTCCATCTAACTCGATTGCATCAATTTATTGCTCAGTTTGCTCTGTTACTGTTAATAAAGTAAACTGCAAAATGTTGTAATCGTGATGTAATATATCATAAGCAAATAATTGCTTTCTATGACTACCATGGATGGTTTTTAATTTTCGTAGTTCATTTTATTATACTCTTGTATTTTTACATTACAACACTGTATTTAGTTTATATTTTCGTCACAAGGTATTGTTTATAACTGAAGAGAAAACACTCTTTGTAAGATAGAAACAGTATGACACCAATCTAGGAATACCGAGTATACACACATCGACTGTAACGTTTGGTACTTTTGTTATTTTAGGTGGATTCTGAATCACCTATTAAACATCATGAAAATAAGTGGCTAAGTAGATAAATAAATAAATAGATAAGTCTGTTGTTTGGAAAAAAGCGTTTTGTGCATATTTATATGTCAATATGTTAATGAACTTATAATTTTATGAAGGTAACATTACATTTTATTTTCTACTTTTTAACACTTTTTACGAAAAAGGGGGAAACATATACTTAGGTCATATTAGGTACATATGCGCGGAGTGCTATTTTTAAAAAATCTTTATACTGTCTATTACTTACTTATATAAATATTTGAAAATGTCTCATATTTTTTATTAACACTTAGAAATGTTCCCTCTTTTGAATATGACCATTAATTTTCAATTTAGGACTCGGCAAAAATTAGAAAAAATCGCAAAGCTTAGTAGGGACATATAGGGTCCGGTTACTTGGAATTTTAGAGAGTAAAATTTTCTGGACATTACAGGAATGGTACAAAATATTGTTTCGTCGTCTGTTTATACACCCTTTAAACACGCGACACGCGGAAATGTCGTCAGACACAACAGACACGCCTGCTGATAGTCACGGCGAGGAAACCGAATCATTTCCAGCGTATTTTCAGCGTCAAAGGTATTTCGCACGGTGGTTTCCCATGTCGCGAAAACAGAAAATCGACTCTTAGCATTATGACAAGGTAATACGATGCGACGTACCAAAGGACGCTCTTGAGGACGATAGATCTCGCCAATCTGCCCTAGCAGTCGATCGAGAACATCGTTGCCAGAATCGCTCGGGCTCGTGAAAGAGGAGAGAAGGGACTCGATGAAAAGAGCAGAAATTGCGATTTTCAGGTTGGCTGTTTCCAACCTATCTCCGTCTTTTTCTCTACATCCTCTTCTTTCACTCCCTCACACTACTCTCCTCTCCCCGGAAATCTCGAGGGATTCAATACTCCGGCTGTATCTTATGTTTGGCAAACCGCGGGAGGAAAAGGAGGGCATAAAAGGAATCGGCACAATCGCTGATGATCGCGCAAACGTGCTTACTTAATTCTCGGTTCTTTACTCGAGCATAATTTGATAACCGGACGTCGTCGACATTTCACACTATTTCCAACAGTACGCTTGTAGTGATTTCCGCATTTGACTCAGAATGAATTGCCCGTTAGTTGTATTGTAAAATAGCCACCGGATTCTCCATGCCGATCTACTTTTCATCTCGTTTATAATTCATCGCATCTCTCCCGTATCTTCTCGGGCGTAGGCAACCTGGTAACGAATCTCTTCCCTTCTACTACCGTTGTTTTATCGAGTATACATCTCGTCTCGCATTTAGTTGAAAGTATGCGAAAGAAAGAGCACCCTGTTTCTACAAAACGGCAAGAGAAATGGCGCGAATCTCTTGAAAAATAAAAGTAATATTGTTCCTCGGAGAGAACGCTTCTTGCAAAACAATTTTATTGTTTTATTTAACCTCTCGCATTTGCACGCGCGCGCTTTCAGGTGCTTTCATTAAACGCGTGCTTCGGATATTTCATTCAGCAATTTTCACGAAATTCTTTTACAAGCGAAATTGATTGTTATCCACTTAAAAATTGCGACTTGTGTAGCAATCGGCCTTCGCTACTCTTCTTTTTCTTATCTCGCTTAATTGTAATTTGTACTACCGTTTTTCACCGTTAGATATCAAAGAAAAACAATGGCAACTCTTGAGTTAAATAACATTCTTTTACTTTTAACATTCATGTATCTCAAAATACAAATCAATCCATTTTGTTAGTTAGTTGCAAAGTAAACATTGTAACATATTAACATATACTTCAATAAATAATAAATTAAATTTGAGTCAATTTTCATATATTTTCTTGGCAACCGAATATTCGTTTTTGATTTCGGCCGGAGGTCAAAATGTGGTTTCGATCG